ATCATTATTTGCAATAAGGGCTGTGATTCTCTAATCAGCCCCATGGGCATGCGGCTATGGGGAGGGAGGGTCTAAGTGAATGTTCAACATTTCGCCTGATTGCTACTCAAGAGACAGTTCTACGCCTGAATGAAGTTAAGCCTTTGCACTTTTGATAATGAAAAATTGATGATGTAAGTGCCCAATTAGATTTCTCAGATGTGCCTGAGTGTATTGACATGAAGCTCTGAAAATGAGAGCGCAACACTTAACTAAATATAAGTATGAAAAATAAAAATAAAATAACCAGAAGAAAATAACTAAAGTCATAATAAGTGAGGAAAACGAGATGAAAAACCTTTCTTCCATGACAAGTAAGGGTCCAGAGAAAACGGGAACCACGCACCGTATATCTGGTTTCTGTGAATGGCAATGTGAACAACACATGTCTAAAACCTCAACATTTCTTGAATGTTTTTTATGAATGTTTCATACACGTTTAGTCCCTAAAAAACACTTAAAAAGGACTAGGCATGGGATACTGAGAAATCTAGCACTATGACTAAAATTGAAGATTTTTCGTCGTGATATTCCTCACCGCCTCCTGAGAAAGATGAGCTTTTATAATCGAACTTTCTTTGCGCCAGTCTTGATAAAGCGGATCTAAAAAGCACTTTTCTATGCAGTTTTATTTGCATTATCAAATAAATAAAATTCAAGTGATCAAGCAGCGAGCTCCTTTATCCTAATTTGGCGTTGGCTGGAGAGAGAAAAAGGCGCGTCAACTCAGTGGAAAACAAAAGATTCTGTATTTCCCGTTGCTGTCAAATTGCCGAAAAATTCACTTTTCATGCCCGATTTTCTCGAGTTTGGCACTTAAAGTTCGATTTTAAATGCTCATTGTACTCGGGGAATCGTAAAGAACATATAAACAAATATTGAAATCGATACCTAGAGCCGAATTTCTTGGTATTCGGTGGGCAATCCTTTGATGTCTGTCTTTCTCAATTTTCAGTTCTTTCTTAACACACACACACATATATATATATATATATATTACTTTTATCCAATATTTTATATGTCAATATATATACATAAATACAACGCAAGAACACGACTTGCATGCATTGAGTATTGATCGGGCTACTTTAAATTCTCTGATTCTTATATAAATAAATATTTCTTTAAATATTTGTACAGTCAGTTTCTCCTATGTTGGAAGAATCATAGGACGAGCAGCCTTAGTGTTTGTTCTTATGTCCAGTGTTTTATTTTTTTTTTATAATATCCTCTACTCACAATAGGAAGAGTAGCAGGAAACAGACAAATACACTTTTTACTGTGCCTACAGTATACTTCATCTGTGGAAAAGTGCAAAAAACCAATTTTTCAGCTCTAAAATTTCGTTATTTTGTTGATGGAACTTCTTCATTATTCATACACAGTTTGTCGCCTTCCAGCTCCAGCCAAAGTATCAACAAACGCCATTTTTTACACTTCGAAGCAATGCTGCCAGACATCTCATACTGTTTTAATTTTTTCCTTTAAACTTTCATTAAAATTTTAGGGATTAATTTTAAAAAATATTAGGTAAAATTTTCGAGCAATTCTGCTAATTAGTTTTTGCGTAAAAAAATTGGAAAATTTCGATTAGTTTGGCAACTTTTTGCCTGAGCACAAATGGCGCTTGTAATACTTAGGCTGAAAGGTGACTAACTAGTATTTCCAGATCTCTAAGAATAGTTCCAGATTTATATTTCTAAAAGTATTTATTGGCATCACAGAGGAATGCAAAGAACAAATCTGTCTTTACAAAGAATGTTTTGGTAGACAAACTTTCCCATGAAAGGGTGGTTCTGCCTGAGAAACTTTTGAAGGATGGTTATAAACAGCCAAAGAAGACCTCCTAAAAAATTGCCAAATTTAGAAAATGATCGAACAATATGGAATACTGCCACAAACAAATGATCTGTCAATGTGCAAGATGAAGTTTTTAAACATACGGACAAAAGCACCAAGTATATTTGTTTCAAGCTGCATTGAAACCGTCCCGAATATGTCTTTAACAGGTTTTTCCCCGGCCTTTAATGGCCGGAAATCTTAATGCAAACGGTGGGGAATTCGCATGGAATTCGGAGGTGTCTGAAATTTTTTAAATTTCATAGTTCGGAAGAAACTGCCAAGTGAACTGAACATGATTTTCAGAGGCAAATTTTCTCACTCTTAAATCTATTTGTCTACAATTTCCCATATCGGAAAAAAAGCATGTAAAATACTGGGAACGCAGTTCATTTTGCACTCTCATATGCAGTAATAGAATGAAGTATAGAAATTTTCCGTGCTAATTCTCCATTGGGCAAGATATTAGCATAACTGAATTCGGTCACTCATAATGGCAGATTATTTTTCAAGTACGTGATTCCGCTTTTGTCACCCCCCCCCCCCTAGCTCCTCAAGTGCACACCTCATCAATTATTTAGAACCTAATTACGGAATAAGTAAGCTTATGAAAATTATTTAAGTAATTGATCTCGATCTGTTCCACTTATAAATTTATTTGATTTAATTCTATGCTCATTGTCTGACGCAGTAATGAGTCTGTATCTTGACCTGACATATTCTTCCTGTCTATTTATTGTTGTATCATATTACGTTTTTCTTTGAAGAATATAACATGTTGGCATTAAAGTTATTGAGTACCGCTATTATTCATTCGATTTCACGAAAACTTACCATGTTTGACCTCCTTCTTTAATGTAAACTTGCCTGCAATAGTATTTTGATATTTTCTTTTTAATTTTATTTAAAGAGTCTGGTGAGTAAGAGAGTCAGGAAGCTGTGGGCGTAGTCAATTTTCATTTTTCTAAGTTCTTTATCAGCTAATATAAGATTCAAATTACTACTCGGTGATACTTCTACTTGAGGGAAATTATAACCACCCCAAGAAAGCACTAGGGCCGGGCTACTGGAGAGTAAAAAAAAGTAGACAAAACTGGCAACATACCTAGCCTTATTTCCTTAACCCCACGTCTGATTTTCAAAGGAGAAGTTGATGTACTTTGTTAATGATCCACAGTCGCCAATGGGCCAACAGCTGTCCCTCTGGGTTGATTCGATGTTAATAATTATGCTCTTTCTCCGTGGAATTCATGCTTTTTCTAAAATCACACCGCGTTCTTTTTCTTTTGGTTCTAAATTTTATGCTGAGTTTCTTTCCTTTTTAGTGTAAGGTATCGCTCAAAAAAGAGGGAGGAGAAGGAAAAAGAAGTTGATGGCCTCCACTTTGTCATAAATTTAAGTGGGCTGGTAAGGTGCGGCGAAGAAGGGTTTTTTCAAAATTTGGCGGGAAGTTTAGCAAAGGGGTCGTCCAGTGTTTGTAAATAATGCAAAATTTGCTTCATTGGGTCGGAGCAAAGACAAAAAAAATCCCATTTTTTGGTGAAATCGATCAACAGATAGGTATCTTATATGTAAATATGTCAAATTATCATGTATTTTAGTAAATTAATCAAATGAAGAATAAACCTTACTTAGGCAGAGGTAATTTAAATGCAAAACAGATCTTTCAACGAAAATTCCCTGTCACCTTTAATATAAATCGGTGAGAATAATTTGGTCATCTTTTCAGAGTTATCCCTCTAAAATTGCATTGTGTACACTTCATTTGATCTTTTCCTGGCTGAATGTTAACAGATACCTCCAAATAGCCCAAATTTTTATCTACAAGGATGTCAACTTGGCAAAATAAACAGGATGCAATCTTACATTTGTCATATACATGGAAATCATATCAGTACCCCAGAGCTAAAAGGCACCTAACTCCATTTTAGTCTTGTTGAGTTATCAGGAGAAAACTGCGCGTCGGCCCTCCTGATTCCAATGTAAATTGCAATATTTGAAACTCTGTAGCTCATAGCCAGGGTAAGATAGGTCTACCGAATTTTTCGCACACACGGAACCGTTAATGGAGATTTCATGCCACTAACTATATTTTTCCAAAAATGTGAGTTCGGTACCTATTGGCTCTGGGTGACTAATATGCAGGCCTTTAAAGTCTTCTTAGAGACAAGAAGTGACCTGAGATCAAAACCAAATTTTGCTGTTCTTTACAATGGCATAATAATTCTTCGCTCTAATGCTAAGCTCATTTATAAAAAAGAGTTCTCATGGCAGTCAGATGAAATTGAGATTTTTTCAACCTTAACATACCATCTTTAAAAGAGGTGATATTGAAGACTTCAGATGACCAAAGATATGATTTTCTGAACCTTTACAAACATGTGCTTACAACGAGACAAAGTCAATCCAAAGTTATCAGGCCCCTCTCCTGATCCCAGGGTCGTTTTTACAATCTCTTGAAACCCCAGTCCATACCATATGTGGTGCCACCGTGTGACCATTTCGACAGTGTAACTGCAGAAACGCGTACCTCGGTTTGGGACGTTGCAGTCTCCTTATTGTTCTTCATTTTTTAAATGGAAAGGTACTTGACATCATTTCTGGAAAACTTCCCTGGTTTTTTTTTTTTTCTCTGTGAATTTTCTATGAAAATTTTAAGCAACAGCATTGGTTTGTTGTTGATTAAATAAAATGGGAACAGGAATTTTGGAACACAGCATGTGAGATACGCTTTTCTGCAGTTTCACTATTGTTTCGGGTGGATACTTCCTTTAAAGCATGTAGAAAGTTCTTGCCTTCCTACTTTACAAATTGCCTTCTCATTTTAAGAACCCCTTCCTTCCCAAAATTGTCATAATGATAAAAGTTATTTTATTCTTTACTCATGAGTTATGCCAAAAAAAAATTTCATACTAACACAAGCGAGTCTTCCTAATTCTCTATGTGATCTAAAGGAAGTTGCAGGATTCCTACTTTGAAGTTTTTGCTATGGTAGCAACTCTGAACAGCATCAAGTTTCCATGAAATTGAAAGTAAGAGGCGTATCACCACAAAACTATATTCTAAACTATATTCGCTCTTCTTGTTCAGGGAATGTTGATCATAAAATAATAAGCAACATGAAGACTTCAAATTAAAAATTTTATTCAAATTTTGAATGCACAGTATTTGAGAACAATTCAGGAAAAAAACTTTAAATTTAACGTAGAAAAATGATGAATAGTGTTTACTTCAGCTTCTTCTTTGGGCGCAAGTTGGCACAATTTCCACAGGAGCGTTTGCGGCATTTAGTTGCTCTGGGGTGAAGTCGGGCATAGCACTTGCGGCAGATCATTTTTTCACAATTGTACTTCTGAGCCAGAAGCTTAAGGGTTGGCTCAATAATACCACCTCTGAGACGCAGAACAAGGTGAAGAGTAGACTCTGAAACCAATAAAGTAGAATCATGGTTAATTATTGCTTAAATCCTAAGTCATTGAGAAAAGTAAACCAATAGTGTTCTTCAGTTCCCCCTCTCACAACAGGTGCAATTTAAGAGAAAGCATAAGTACCACAGTTTTAACAATGACCATACGTACTTAGTTTTTCTTCTACATGACAGTACATACTATGAAAATAAACTAACACCTATGTCAGAAAGTCAGTAATTTTGGTTTCAAAATAATGGAAAAGTGTGCGACAATGAAAGAAGGAGTGTTACAGGTCTTTTTAAGCCCACCTGCATTTTGCTAAATGTTTCATATTTTCAAAGCACTATTCCCCTAGGTAGATTACCTCGTCGAATAATTTATCTATCAAAGCCCACATAACACATAAACACCTTAATCCCAAACTGGTGGAATTGAAAAAAAATTTTATTTGACGCCTTCCTTGATTACATCACTCATTCAAGAGTTTAATGTAGTGTGATTTATTTAATTTTCTGTCTTTCATAAGGCCTCGAGTGTTAATGACCATTTAGTCCACTCATGCTAATTTCTGATGATCCTTAAGGCCTAGATACACACGGTGATTAATCGCCGCGATTGAAAGACGAAAGCCAACGGAGAGCCTTGATTTCGATATTTCGACGTCAATGGATTGAAATCCAGGCTCTCCCTTGGCTTTCGTCTTTCAATCGCAGCGATTAAACGCTGTGTGAATCTAGGCCTTTATGGATTTTAATATGCTCACTTAATGCTTTAGTTATGTAAAATTTTCTTTGATCAAAGAAATGAGAACAGTTATTAAAAGGATGTAGAAAAAAAGTAGTAAGTGTTCGTTAACTTTAAGAAAAAAACACTAAGAAACAAGGCCCGACCGGTAAGTATCAAGGTGGTAAAATAGTGCAATAGTTCTCCATCTTGTACTGATACTCATTAGAACTTAAAATTTTTTACTCTGATCAAAATTTTTGAACTTATTGGCCTTGTCCCCCCCCCCCCAAATAGTTTGGAGCCAGCACTATTTTACCACCTAGATTATTAACTTTTCTCTATACTGCCTAAATTAGAGTAACCTAGAATAAAAGCGGGTACTTCCATCGTCAAAAATGGACTGTTCGCTTGTCCAAATTGTTCAAAATTATGTGTATTCAAATGGACAATGCCATTACTGTCAGTCTGCTTTTCCCATAAATTTAGGTCAATTTTTCTTCCTTTTAATGATTTAATCAGCTCTTTGTTGCTCTGAGCTTTAAAGTTCTGAGGTTTCGGGGAATTACATAGGTACATTTTTGAGATATTTACTTCAGAAATCCCTCTTTTTCATCGCTAATAGCCTTAAGGTTCATCGCATCGCTCGCGTGCTTCGATTTGCAGGACCAATCAGAAAATGGACCATTTATCTACAACGATTCATGATAAGGCGAACCCAGAATGCACATTGTGGATAGTCCATTTTTTGATTGGTCAATCGACTCTCCGCGTAAGACAGAATGCGAGTGCTCACTTTTATTCAACGTTTCCTTAGTCTAACTTATAAGGAAAAGATCTTCCTAGAGTAGCAAAAATAGGATAAATTCCTGTGCCTAAGGGTCAAAAAGAGGGATACAGCTTATTAACGTGGGTAACACCTGTCATCCACCAAACAACGTATTTAACGAGCATAGTTGCACCTGCATCTGTACGGAGAGAAAATAAGATAATAGTCATCTTTGGTGGTCTTTTTTGAATTGACTCATCCTACTTAAGTATTTGAAATGAATTATTTGACTGAGGATGGCACATAAAGTTTTAAAGCACTCTCTTTTGCAATGTGTCAGCGAAGCAGCTACACAATTTGTATCGTGGCATGCCTTGGTTCTAAAATAGTCCTTGCTTTAAAAAGTCTGGAAAGCTTGACGCTCCGGAGAGAAGTATTGATTTAACTCTCATTATTGCTAAGTAAATGAAAGAGCACTCGACGTGGTATAGTACACAGATCTAGAAATCGTTCTGAAAAAAAGAGAAAAAAGTTCACTGACGAGCGCAGTGTTGTAATTACCTTTCTGAATGTTGTAATCTGATAGTGTGCGCCCATCTTCCAATTGTTTGCCTGCAAAAATCAATCTCTGCTGGTCAGGAGGAATGCCTTCTTTGTCTTGAATTTTGCTTTTGACATTTTCGATAGTGTCTGATGCCTCTACTTCAAGAGTGATTGTTTTGCCAGTCAAAGTTTTAACAAAAATCTGCATACTGACTACCTGTAGAGATGAAATAAAGAGGGTTAATTTTACAAAAAATCATCAAGATCGGGATCTCAACAGGTAACAGTAAAAAAAAAACAAACCTTTTGAGATTAGCTTCTTCCTTAAAAGTGGTTTCATGAACTCTTGGATGAATTTAACCGTTCTTTCATAAAATTACACACAAGAGAAACTTTACTGACCCTGTACTTAAAAATTCCTAGCCACTGCACCATTAAACTTGTGAAAATGTTTCAGTAGGATTTTTTCCAGGCTCAAAATTGATCTATTTGACCAAACAAGACTTAAGCCGAGTTTTATTTGAAGCGGGCCAACTGGTGAGTGCTTGAAGAAAATGTTCAAAACATGCATTTTTAGCTTCAAAAACGCAGTTCTTGACCTTCAACTATTCGATCTTTCCGCCAGTTGGAATTGCCGAAGTAGGTGGCTGAGGTGAAGTTGAAACCAACAAACGGGACACTCATGTAAATTAAGAGCCAAAGAAGAACTACCATTGTATGCTAGCAAACGTCTGACAGACAATGGGTGCAGCTAACTGCTATCTTTTGCTCCAGGCGTCTCACTGCAAAAGCTACCTTCATTCGTTAATGAGCATCTCTGTGCAGGTGGATATGCTCTTAAATGCATTAGAAGTACCATTCATTACTCCATAGTAGGGCAGCCTGACTACCTACTCAACCTGATTTTTCAAAATTACTTTAAATCAGATGAGAAAAAAAAAAAAACAATTGGAAGTGGCCGGAATACTGTAAGTAACAAGGTGAAGAAATGGTGCTAGGTCCACATCATTTTATAGGGAAATCAAAGCCATGACTCCACTTATTTTTGACTCTGATTATAATTTTTGGAACTTCTTGGCTTTGATTTCCCCTCGAAATGGTGTGGACCCAGCACTATTTCTCCACCTGTTAATAAGATAGGCACTGCTATGGTTGGTCTAGTTTTTAAGGAATTTTAGTTGAATGAAACTTCGTTAGCATGGTGCTCTGATCTTCAAGTTTTAACAGCATTCCATCAGAAGAATTCCTAGCACTTTACCATAGAAATGCTGCACAGATGTGCCATTAAACGATTCAAATATCAGAGATAGGAATAACCACCTCCAGTTTGTGATGCAGTGATCCTAGAGTGCATTGTATGGTAAGTCAATATTATAATTATAGATTGATTGCTTTGTTTGACCCCGTAAGACTGGAATGGTATTAAAGTCTGCGCCAGCAAAGTATACACACATGTAGATTGCAACGGAAGATCCGCTATCTTGCACTTGAATTCACTTTTCATGAAACTGATGTTCGACCATGGAGTACTTCGAGTCACAATGTAAGTGGGAGAGCTGGCACCACCTTTAAGAATTTTCTAGGTCCCGAATTCCTGGACTTCTGTGTGACGCCAGGTAACTTATCCGATACATGATTGATTGTTTTCCATACACGAGTACCCAGCCATCCAATGTAAACAAAGAAGATAAGAATTGCTGCATGACCCACACCGCCATGTTGAATCGAACGGGTATCAAAAAGCGACCACAGCTCAAGCCGGGCTCGGAACTTGTTGAGCAGAACATGGCGCAAGCTTTCCCATTAATAATACAACTTTTTGTACTCTATATATCAGACGATCTTCTGCCCCTCTTGAAAAGTGCTTGAACTTATTTCACATTGACTCAGTGTGGAATGATTATTCTGGATTGTCCCATTCCATGGATGTGCGCAGTGCTAAGACATACTTAAGAAAATGAGGACATCGTCGTATTCGCTCCTTTGTTACCTCATCAGACACGATGGAAAAGAAATGAACATATCTTCACGTGCATGAGACTGGGACTGCGATCAAGTATAGGTGCAGTGGTTTGGAATGACCAAACATAACCTCCACAGAAAACGAGGCTAAGGCAAGGGTTAGATTTCACATAATGAGCCACAATAGAATTTAGTCTCCCACTTCAGAGATAGCTGGAAAGGCAAAAACATAATGAAAAAAGAGTAAATAGAGGTGAAGAGAGACTGTTGAGAGAACAACCCGGAACGAAGATAGAAAAAAAGGTTTGAGGGCCTGAAACTCGTGGTACACGCTGGCTCATCAACTGGAGTTCAGGAATTCAGGATACTATAAAAACTAGATTGCAGAGCAAACGCTTTAGTGATCGCCTACCTCTAGTGAAAATCTATGAGAGAATTATTATGTACACAGACTTACGTTCAAAGTGCACTTCCAAGACAAAAAGTTTAAACAGATGTTAAAGGATTCCTCGGGTAATATCACGTTGGCGTTGTTAGCGTTCCGTCCGCGCCGTCTCCGTCACCGTCTCACCACCGTCATAGACTAACTAATAAGAGTGGTGATGCACGTCAAAAAGTGTTGACGATTGCGGATTGAGGTTTGTTTAGTTATTTTGTCTCTATAATGGTCTGTACCTGTACAGCAAGGTAAACGCCAGAGAGAACGCAACTCAAGCGAAGATTGTGACAAAGTTGGGTCATATGTCATATAAAGCGTAAAGCTACCTCATTCTCTTCTTATTGGCTCCCTGCAAGAACTGGCCCCTGCTCCCTGCTTCTTATTCTTCTTGTGTTCTCGCTTTGGTTCTTGCTAGAGTACCTGTATAGAGAGAGTAGCGACAGATCTGAAACTCCGAAAGTCCATCAGGCCTTCACCGATGCCTCCGCGAATAAAGGTAGGGCCCAAAAGGGCAGCCAACCTATGAATTTCAATTATCCAGAGCGATTTACTGATACTATTGTTACGAACCGTCCTTTATTAAGCACGTGTTTGACTCAGTTTTTGCATAAATTTACTCAATTTCGCGGAAGAACGCTCATTTCTGTACATTCTTGGCCATCTTGGTTAGAATTGGAATCTGCAGACTGGCAGTGAAATTTTGTGCGTTAGAAGTTGGTTAGAGGGGTGGCTGCACTTTTGGGCCCTAAGCCCTCCATGAACCGATCTGTCGCTACTCTCCCTATACAGGTACTCTAGTTCTTGCTTGCTAGTTGCTTGCCTTGTGCTTGCCCTTGCTAGTTGGCGCAAATTATGAAGCAAAAGCAGCAGAATCCAAAAATTTGGTTATTCCCTCTTCTCACTAGCTTTTAAAAAATCTGATTACCAATAAATTATCACCTTGAACCTAGATTAATATCGGGGCCGATGATAAAGAACATATAGTATAGTTCGCGTCTTGAGTAGAGTCTTGAGCGGCCATAGAGTACAGCGGCGGGCAAAATCATGAACCGGCTCACAATCAGCCATGAAATTTTGGGTATAGTGCCTAATTTTGGGTACATATAACTAACTTAACTAACCATACCTACGAATTACTAGAGTCCCTTTATAACCCAGAGTTAAGACAACTCACTTTTGGTTAGGCTGAAAGTGGCCTAAAAAAAAATCCAATTCTGATTGGTTCTCGCTCATGGAGGCCGAAACGAGTGCACCAAGATGGCGGTACCTCGAATGTGAACAAAAGTAATGAAAATATAACTAAATTGTGGTTTATCAAGAGTGAATTGTTATTTTAATCGCACCAAAATGAAAATATATTAAGAAATTATCCACTAATCAATCTAATTTTAAGGTTTTGATCAGTTTTTGTTGATGTTGTTGTTTTTGGATGACAGACATCGGAGGATTCCTTATCCTTATCCCTCAATATCGTTCGTTTGAGTGCACTCGTTTCGGCCTCCATGGCCAGCCAAGGCCGGCTGCCAGTCAGCTGATAATCGAGTTGTCTTAACTCTGGGTTATAAAGGGACTCTACGAATTACGATATTCGTGAATACCGTACAATACTGCACTTCGTAAGCAAAGGTAGTTACTGAATTTTGCCAAAATTCCCTTCACTACCGGGTTGACATTCTTAAATGACCATTAATTTTTATAATAAATGTATACAGAATCAGGACTCAGGCCGAGTGAATCCATAGAGAAAAAAAAGGAGGTGTTTGCATCTTGAGGATTTGTACCCACCTACGTCATCAATGTAAACAAGACGCTCGTTGAGGGTTATGTTGACGCTGTAAAAAACTAAAAACGGACCATAATGTCCGATTTTTTTACTTAAGGTTAATCTTCAGCGTTAGTTCTGAAAAAATCCACCACGTCGCGCTGCTAAAATCTGACTCCGAAATCAGCGATTATTTAAATATGAAGAGAAAGACTCTAAATTCTGAAGCTAATAAGTTCTAGCAGCATGTCTGAAGAATGTGTAAAGTCAAAGATGAGCTTTCAAAGTTGCACAATAAAGGCTGGAATTTGATCCCCGTTTTCCTTATGGGAATCCAATGAGTGTGAGAGAGACAGCTCACGGTGGGAGAGAGATATCTGCCAACTGCTGAGAGCGATCAAGCGCGATTGGTTGCATCAAGGTCATCATGCTTAACCCTACTTTTTTCTGGGATCAAATTGCAGAGCTTCAGAAATGACTTTTCACGTTGCTTTTAGGGTCAATAGGAAGAAGAATGTTATAGCTAGAACTTATTTATTTTCGATTTAAACAGAAATTCCTTCAACTTTTATAAAAGCTCAAGGACTCACGTGGTGCTGTACGGACTCTAAAACACAGCGGTGGCGCCCCCTGCGCGGAGAAATTTCTTACTTCACGCAGCTGTAGATACACCTTAAATCAACTCTTTATTTAATTTCAAGCACTTTTTATAGAATGACTTTTTCCCTTAAATTACACCATTTCCAAAAAAATCGACAGGATAAAAACGTCGCTGTACCCAATGACGTCATCAAAGCTATAGATACTCTATGAAAAATTCCAAGATGCCCGAAATGCAAACACCTCCTTTTTCTTCTCTATGGAGTGAATCATCCGACAACGACGCCATATGTATACAAAATCGAAATTATACAAGTTATATCAGAAGTAAATAAGTGAGTTAGGGTGTATACATGACAACACTGAAACTGAACAGAGGAGGCAGAGGAATTCTCCGAAGTTGGGTTCCGATTCTGAAAGTCTATTATTCCTATTCGTGATTCAGGTAGTATTGCTCACTTGTGCACTACTTGTGCAGTACTTGTGTACTTTACGGTGTTTACCTACCCTCTAACTCTATACGTGCGGTTTGTTAGTAATTTTGTGCAATTGTTATTCCATATCTAACAACGCGTTTTTTTTTAAATTTGTCTCGGATTATGGTCAAGTTAACTTCTTATCAACGAAGCCCGTGCATAACTGTTGCTGTATCTCACTAGCCGCCCTAGCTTGGCCGTCAGTAGCCTAACCTTATCGTTGTGGCCAATCAAGGACAGCATTCTTGTCTGGAAAATTTTAGCTGGCTCCTTCTAAAATAATGGAAGCTATAGCCAAACACGATTTTAACGCCACAGCAGAAGATGAGCTAAGTTTCAGGAAAAGTCAAGTACTGAAGGTAAATGCGCTTACTTGAATGTACTTAGTTGGTAACATCACTGAGGAACGCATATTCCTGTACATTGTTATTCCCGTTAAGTGATTTTCACGGATGATATTAACCAGTGATTCATGCCCCTATCTGAGAGAATGATTACTAATTCTATTCTCTAATAATAGCACTTTTTATAGATTCCAATCTGTATTCATATTGGTGTGGAACATAATGGTTTCTTAACCGGGTAGTAAAGTTCAATGTTTTCAGATTGCCGTTCAGCCTTCATGTCCCATTTTCTTTTAGTTCATGAAACTAAGTGACTTAAACTGACAGCTGTTATCTTCTTCAATTCGTCAGTTAAGATGGTAGTGTTCTCAAGTGTCATGCTATCAAGTATTTCTAGATTCCCTGGAACGCCATCACAGCAGCTGAAAAATTTTCCCGTGAATTCCCTTATTCTTTTTTTTCTATGAATCATTCATCCTGCATAAATTTCTTCACTCATCCAAACCTTTTAAACAAACTTTTCTGGAAGACGGTTAATTCCCTAGCTTTACTGGCGACTATCTGTCGACCCCTCAATTAGATCTTATTTACCCAAGGTACTTAGCTAGAACAATTTAGTGGCAACACAATTCTTACTATATTCGACATATTGATTTTTTGATGGCTCCAACTGGAACAACTAAGCTTAATCTCAATCCAAAGTCTTAGATGATTTTTTTTATTTCAGTTCATAACAAGTCTGTCAAAGGACTGTCCCTGGCGTCCCATGCACAAACTGGGGCTCTTATTTGGCACTAATTCTTTAACTTCTCAGCCATTTCTGCTAAAAATTCTCTGAAAATCTCAGGATCTGATCTATAACGTGTTCCAAACACATCAGCTATCTTCAAAGATTGTTGGGCCGATAATCTCAACAATTCTATGGATGAGCATCCTTGAAGCTCTGTTTGTGTAGGAAGAGCGCCTCATAACTAATCTTAGAACAGAGTCATCCTTTGTTAAGGAAAATTTCAATCTCGCGCTAAGAAGTTTTGTTCTTCAGTCTGGCCAGAAATCTGTATCTCCCAAGAAATTCAACACGTATCTTTAGAGAATCAAATCCTCAGACCAATGAAATCATTCTGAGTTATATCGAAACCGATCGAATAACTGTCTAAATTTCAAATAAATGATAATGCTTGTTCGTGTTCAATGTATGCTGAGATGCACCCCCCCCCCCCCACCCATCTTTCCTTTCCTCTCCCTATTATAAAGCAATTTTTGACTTTTGTCTCAACACACTAAGACTGGACTCTAATTATTTATTCATCGAACACAAGACATTTTGATTGCCAGAAAAACTTAGGATTCCATTACCTTAGTGTCAACATGACAAGCTTTTGTGATTATTTATATTAAATCCTTCAAAAAACAAAGGACAGTGAATAATGTAGGTACAAATCAGTCCTTAGCTTTGTATGTGACACAAACTTGTGGAATGACTTCGGATAAAAGGCTTTCGGAAAAAGAGAGGTATCTCCACCTGCAAAGTTGCCTTGTAGCATGGCACCAAGGGCCAATTTTAACTGCAGTTTTTTTTTTTTTTTAGTTAACCAAGAGTTTATACAATTCCTACTTAGCATACCTGGTCATTCAAGGAACCGTTGTGAGTGTGTGTCGGTGTTAGCTTCAGCCACATTGCCAGATCGTACAGTAAAATAAAAATGTTTACATGGGCATAAATGGGAAAATATGCTGATTTTCAGCACTATCTGGCAACAATAAATGTAGCAGAAAGAATCGTTCCTCATGTTGACATACATAAGGTAATTTTTACCTTCTTTTAAAATGTGATTCTGTCGTACAAATTTGTGTCATTCGATCAAACTTCCCTAGAAATTTAACTTAAAATTCCATGCCCGGAAAAAATTCACTTTCCCAAGTAAAAAATCCTCCCTCAACTTGTATGACATGCGTAAGTCCTCCCTTCACGTGTGTTCTCCGCAGCTACGACCAGATAATCTCAAACCATTGGCCAGGAATCCTTAGTAGGAATTGGTTTATTAAAGTCTGTGCTAGGTATCATTCTGCACATGCATAATATATGCTTTTAAAGAGAACCCCAAATTGAGTGCAGCATTATTTACTCCTGTATTATTTTTGCCTTTTGCCTTCAGATACTCAACATGGAAGATGACATGAACTGGTATCGAGCAGAGTTAGATGGCAAAGAAGGCCTAATCCCTAGTAACTATATTGAAATGAAGAATCATGAGTAAGTTTCTGCCTTTTTTCTTTATGTAATGATTTGCTATAAAAAAGTAAAACAAAAAGAAAATTGCAGATTTTTTAGGTTTTCTATTGATCAAAACTTGTGGCCAAGAATTAATGCTGTTTGATCATTGTTCAAGTTGCTCTCATTGTTAGTATTAATTTACTCTATATTAAGCTGTCGTATCAAATCAGTGCTTTAGTGCAGTTTTAGCAAACTCATCAATAAACTACCAGATCGTTTGTTCAAATCTTGCATGATTTTCTTTTTTTTAGCAACTGGTGTTCCATTTTTCTTACTTTCTCTGTAACCATTCTTCATGCATACGCGAGAGCCGATATTACAGCACTCTACAGCGCTCTGTGATTTTTAACTGCCCCAGACATTTACCCTCTCAGATCCCCGTCTGGGAGCTGAAATCTTTCATTTCTTGTTCAACCACATGTCGTCACTCTTTCACTGAGAATACCCTTTTCCCAGGAAAAACCTAATTTAAAAGTGTTTGGTAACGTCTTTTCCGTAATTCCGCTCACATGACCATCCCAGACTAGCTGTTTGGTCATGGCGTGGAATTCAATGTCATTTTCAACGTTCCATTTTAGGCAACTGAAAGTGCCTCTCTGTTGTTGCAGCAACGGCACTCTAACCTTACTTCCTTTATCAGGGAACGCTAGGTATATCTACCTGGAAGCAATGATGATTGCACTGCAATAAGGAAGTCACTGTTACCTCTAACCCGCTACACTCTCAATTTAGTTGCATGATAAACAATCGCATGATTAATGATGAATTTCAAATTTTCAATCCTTGCATTCGCTGGACTTAGAAGACTTTATACAGTTCTTGGCGCTCGAAAAAATCATTCACGTTTCTCGTCTCAATCAAGACTAAAAATTTCAATAAGCTGATTTCCGTAATTATGAACAGCATCCTTTCCAAACTTTCCAACGTTTTGACAGTCAGATTGTTCTCCAATCCTACTGTTCAAATCACCAATATCAGCTGCTTCCCTTTCGCTCCAACTTTCATGATTTCATCATTGAGATCTTAAAAAAATTTGTGGTCTATCGCAATCGTGGCATCATCATTCACCGCATACACCTCAAGCAGTGTAATTTTATGACTGTGCACCCCAAGGTTTATTTGAAAATGCGCTAGTTGATAGCCTTTTAAGTGACAACAAACAAATGAAGGTTTTTTACTTTATTATAGCCACTTCTTGCTGTGCAGGCTGATTTTCAGACACAATGCCGGAGAATACATAATACCTAGTCACCATAATTTTCAGACCAATGCCCCTGTTTTTTGTCTCAATCAAAACAACGATATCCACTCATCTTTGCCTCATTCTATCACTTTTGATAAATTTTTTTGAAAAACCATGGACATTTCTAACCCCAAATATTATTGTTCGTTTGCATAGTTTTTGAGTTTCGATATGCTGAGGCTTTGGTCAGGTCTTTTCAAAATGATGATTTTTTTAAGCACTTTTAGTAGTCAACTTGATGACTGAGCTCCTAACCTAGAGGACCAGTGTTTGAGATCAGCGTGTGCTCTTCTAGATTGGTCGCCTTCTTCACCACTGCTAGGGAGTAATTCATCCCTTCTGCAGTTGGTTCGTAGGTAAAAACTACGTACCAAATTTTATCAAGAACTATGAAGAATATTTTGAAGATTTGATTTTGTTTTTGATTCAGTGACTTAGAGCAAAATGTTCTGATGATGGATTGCTTTGCTTTTTTTTAATTTCTTTTAAATAACTATGAAAGTTTTTTGTATGAACTTTATATCAAGTATTTTTGTAGAATTTGAATGCGCACATCCACAATTATGAAAACAAGTGCACGTACCTTCCACATTTCATGAATTATCACGAACTGTCTTTTTTTCTGTTCAGCTGGTATTATGGTAGAATAACTCGAGCTGATGCAGAGAAATTACTAATGAATAAACTTGAAGGTGCTTTTCTCATTCGTGTCAGTGAAAGTTCGCCAGGAGATTTCTCTTTATCTGTAAAGTAAGTTGTCATTTATTCTCCTCCACACTTAGTATATATGATCAGAATTTGACTTATTAAGCTCCATGTATGTGCATACAGTGGTTCAAATCTTATCAATGTTGAAATCTATGGTTGAATTCAGGCTAAATTGCTGTTCTAAGAGAAACCATTTTTTTGGGTCATGTGACATGTGACTTTTGATGACCGTGGAATTTAAGTATTTCAGGTAATTCTGCAAATTATTCCGAGTAAATAACTTCTGGAAACACCAGGACAATTTATGTTTGCCCCTCAATTTATGTTTCATTTTTGTCTAATAGCTCTCTTGTATTGATTATTTTTCAGGTGTTCAGATGGTGTGCAACATTTCAAAGTGCTGAGAGATGCACAAGGAAAATTCTTCCTCTGGGTCGTTAAATTCAACAGTTTGAATGAATTGGTCGAATACCACCGAACGGCATCTGTCTCTCGGTCACAAGATGTGAAACTAAGGGACATGGTTCCAGAGGAGGTACTAACTCTTCTTTTTTCCATTTAGTGGTCCAATCAATTTTTCACTCTTGTTTTTACTAGCCAGAAATAGTTCACATCACTAGCAGGATTTGAAGTCCAAGCTATCTGCAATAATCTAACTAAATTAAGTTTTCCACCAATTTCAAGCAGAAGTTTAAAAATATTTTTCATTTGTCCCATTAGTTTTTTTTGTGGAAGCAGGGTCTCAATTTTCTTTTAAAGGGTTATTTTTGTGAACAGAAACTTGATTAATGTGAAATCAAAGAACTTGCTGCAACCCTGATAGTGGTTTTCCTCTTCAAAAGATTTTTAATTGTTCGTTTTTATATAGTCTTGATTGTGATGTAGTTTCTTTTCCTCAGCCCTTAAATACCTTTAATATTAATTTTCTTCTTCTTTCATTACAGTGTTTAGTTCAAGCATTGTATGATTTTGCTCCTCAAGAACCAGGTGAATTAGAATTTAAGCGAGGAGATGTAATAACTGTAACGGATAGGTCAGATCAGCATTGGTGGCATGGTGAAATTGGAGCCCGCAAAGGTCTATTTCCAGCAACATACGTCACACCGTATCATTCGTAGAAATTGCTCAGCTGAGATTTTCGAATGAGGTAATTTAATTCAATTCATTTTATAATCACTACAATAAACTTTTTGGGGTGTGGCATAAATCAGTAAAAATTGAGGACAACATAAAAACATCAAGATAGTACGATGAAAAAATTTACGTTTCTACAAATTATTACAGGATCAGCTTGGATTACATTAGATCAGATTACAAGTTAAGGATAGGCTATCTTTAGCACAAAATTGTCAAAAAACATCATGGTTTCCCATTCAAAATTTGACAGATATTGGAAAGGATCCTGCAAACCTCTTATGAGGATGCGTACCATAATCAACTTACAATTTTTTAATTGCATTAAACTCGTCTATGGATGCTGATCAAAAGTCATCATTGCGCCAACTTTTTCTGAGCTACTGTTTTCGCACAATCTGCAGTTGAAGTTTCGATAATTCCTTGAATAAAAAGAGCCCACACTGCACTGAAGAGTCAAAGAGATCCTTCTTAAAAAGGCATTTTCTGCATCTAGGCGTTTTATAGTAGCATGAATCTCTTTAGACTGTGTTTCTGGTAGTGTGGAAAAATGAAAATTCAAAAGTTTATAACATCCTGAAAAAGTTGGATCATGTTGGCAGTAGGGCGTCAGCTCAGTAACTTTAAGCTGGTGCCATTTACGAGAGCCTGAACAACTTACAAGTGCTCTCTTTCCTAATTTGAGTATCCAAAAGTTGAGATTTCATCCATAGTTCAGCAAAAATCAGCGTAATTGAAAGGAAAAAAAATCTGACATTTGGTTTTAATCGTAGGTCAGAGGAACTCAAGGAATTCAGAAATTTGGAGTCAAGGAAAAGCAAAAAAAGTCAAGGTGTTCAAAAATGGAAGAAATTATGGTAACTCTTTTAGAAAAATAGCCCATTTCAATTTAATCTGCTGATTTTCAATCCTGTGATGTAGAGCTAGGGCTGCTATAGACCTCTCTCCAGCTATCCCAGTGGTTTTTTAGGTATGATTCCTTCCTTGGTGTTAAACGTGCCTCAGGATTAATATTGTATTTTCAGATTTTTCCAGCACTGAAAATTTCACCAATAAGTGTGTTTAGAGTCTGACTTATCTCTTACTGTCAGTTTTTCATCCTATAATTTGATAAACAGTGTATTTATCCCCTTGCTAATTCTTATCTATCACTTCTGTGGTTTATTCCAGAAAATTTATCAGAAAAACGTGAAACACCATTTTGGAAAAACATACTTATCATGTGAGTAAACCTCCTTCACTGTGTACTCAGCCAACATCCAATTACAGTGTAATTTCCCTCATATTCATCACCCTTCCTTTCTTCAATTTGTAAATTCATCCAGGAACAAAGAATCAAAAAGCTAGATTTGAGAAGGTCTATCCCATATTTTTTTACTCTCTAATTATTTCTTATTATTACAATAATTTTTCTCTTTTTTTCTTATGATGTTTATTCTGCTGTGGCCAAGCACATTGTTATTTTTAAATGTTATTGATTACACTGTCACACTCTCGTGCTTTATCTTGTATCTTGTGTTGTATCTTTCTTGTGCTTCGTTACATTTTACTTCTTTCTGTTTCGTTATATTATGGTTCCCACATGAATTGAGAAGCTTTCAAGTCTAAGGGTACAATCCATGTTTCATTCTGTCTTGATGACCTTGATTTACGCAGGGTGTCCATTTCAGTTACTTCACTCTTTCATTGCAGGCTAATTTACACCATTGTCATTTTGTATGTCTTCCTTCATAAATCTTGGTATCAAAATCATTTTAAGTGCAGTTCAAGTGACGATAATCATTCAGAGTGAAAACATTTTTCAACACTTCGTTGTAACCTATCTAAATTTGAATTAAAAATCGGAAGATATAAGGTACAGATCCCAACAAAAGCCTAACTTGAAATCCTGATTTTTATCATCAAACGAATAAATACCAAGAAAGCCAGGTCTAGAATAAACCTTGGTAATGTTCCAGGTCATCAGTTCTCCAAGGAAAGAAGGCCAAAAAGTTCATAGCAAAACTTTCTTTTCTTAGTCTCATTTCGTCCTTGTGATAAGTTTATATATTATATTAGGTTCAAGTTTCTTATCAGTCTCTATGTCTCAGTTATTCTCTTATCTCATGGTTTAATTGCTCCAAAGTGATACTTAAGCATAGATTTCTGTGTAAATTTTCATCATAAAACTTTATTTATTTGATCTTTATGATGATTTTTTCACCCTCCCAAGTTCATCAAAACCTCTTGGTAATTCCAAATACACTTGATTATCAAAGGACCCATGAAAAATTAAAGGGTGAAAGTCTTCCCAATCATTTGTAACTGTGCTAAGAGACATGTATTTGTAGCAAAGGTGACAATTTTTTATTTGTTTCCCCCTATATGCCCTGTCTCACATCCGAAAAGACCAAAAACCATGATTTCTGCATTTTTCTAGTGCTTTATGTGACAATCAGTTGTTTTGATAGCGTAGCAGTTCTAACCCTTTCATTACTAGGCTAGATTTTACATGGGCGTGTCCTGTAACGGAAATTGGTTGTCCCACAAACAAAGCGGAGCGAACTTAGTGGGGAACTGTCTAAAGTTGTAATTCAGATCTTCCTCACAGAAAGAGTACAAATGTGAATATTTCTGAGTGGCAGTTGTTGAGTGATGGCAGAATCGTTATGGGTAGGATGTTTTTACATTACATGCAAATCTTGCGCTTAAATGAAAGGGTTGACACACTTACATTTGAAAGAGACTGAAAAATAAGTAGGAACCAGAAGGAAAAAATGGTGGAGAGCCAACTCCCAAGAAGTTTTGCTTCAGCGTTTTTAAAAATACTAACTGTTGTTAGAGTGAAAAGAATGCCCCTTTAAAGAAAACCCAACCGACCTATCAAGCTCATCTTGATCTCTTTTGAATACAGGCATCAAAAGCAGTCATCTGAGACTAAAATCAACTGATTTGAACAAAAATTGGCCATATCATAGTAGTATAAACGTCGGGTGAATCGAAATAGGCCGTGGTTTTTTTAAACAAAAGAATTCTCACGGAAATGTACCTAATAAAATTTTACTGATTATCTGTAACCGAGCATTCAGGATAGCAACATCTGACCTGACTTGGCGAGGTAGAACAATAAGATGTAACCATAGCATTGATGGAATTCATGTGTGAATTCGTTAAATGCAAAGTTTTTGCTGTATCTGCTGTTCACCATAACCAGTTGTTATTCCCTCCTGTAGTAAGTAAGTGTCAACCCAGATGACACACCCTAACTAACAGCAAAATGCCTTTATCTTAGTGATTCTTCATCATAAGCCACTTTAAATAAAAAATTTTGAAAGCAACATGAAAACATATAAAAATGTGCAAGATATGTATGCACAAAAATAAATAAATTAATAAAAGGTGAGGCAGAAACTTACCAAGATAATTGTTCCCGCAAAACCAATTCATTCCATAAAATTTTCCAGTGTTTCTTTGGGTAAATCTTGAGTCTTACAGCAACCACATAATGATGCCTAGTGGTGTTCAGTGGCAAAAGAACATTCAAAAAGTTTTATCGGCACATTTTGGGAAGAATGAATTTGTTACTCGTAAAAAAAACTGTTCCTAATACTTATGCATCTTCGTTCAAATTACCATATCAGTGTCAATTTTGTCTAAAGAAGCTGATTTTGGCCTCAAAACATTGCTTATCGTGTTTTCTTTCAAAGGAAACCAAGATCAGCTCAATAAGTTGTTCAGTTTTGAATCAGAGCAACAGTCCAGGTCTTACTAGAGCAGCCCATGTATTTACAAACAAATCCTCACCCTCAGCTCACAGTGAATGCCTAATGGACCACCAGATAAGGTACGAATTTCAGCATTCTAGTACATGTTTCTTAACCAAAATTTTACGCAAAACACGATGCACACAACGAAAATTACCGAATTAACTCCTTACGAAGATATTTAATGATTCTTGATGCGTGAACTCAAACCACCCGCTCATGAAAACTCAATGCTCTATGTGATTCACATCGCCCGCTAAACGTTATCATGACAGTCTTTGCGATATAAAAATCTGGCAACCTCAATCTTGCCGCTTTGGCTCAGCTATAGCAAATTGCTATTAGTTTGAACAACACCTGGTGGGAAATGAACATTGCTCGATTGAGAAGCTTGCTGAAACCGTTGTAGTGGGCGATTTGACTCAAGTAGAGCTTTGAGTTTCTTGTGAGCGGGCAGTTCAAATTCCTCGTAACCAATGTGAAATATAAACGTCAATATCTTCGTTAGGAATTGATCTCAGTAATTTTTATTGTGTGAATCGTGTTCTACGTGAAATTCTGGTTAAGAAACATGTATCAGAATGCTTAAATTCGTACCTTGTCTAGTGGTCCATTCGCAATATTTGGTTCTGACAGTCTAGATTTGCAATGTCTGGTAGCAAATCATGGCCCAAGGACAGTACTTATTTTGTCATTAACAGTCCAAAAAATGGAGACGCAAATCGGTTGAATGAGTTGACTCTTTTTCCATCTCCTTTCTCTGAAATCTTGATAAAAGTACATACCTCTATAATAATGAAACTTTCTAATGTAACAAGTGTAAAAAAAATATTCATTAAGCTCTGTTATGAAATTTGACCCTCTCATCAAGACCCTTCGAGATCTGATGGTCTTCAAGTTAAAATCTGTTCATTGCGAGTGTAGAGTTACTACTGCTTTATTTATTTTGTGAACATATAATTGTATCGCAAAAAGACTCATCTTAGTCCTCATTGATAATACTCCCTGTGAGACTGCAATGCATATTGCTGCTTGCATAACGGTCATATTGAGAATGAAATGCTAGATGAGAGGTAAAATTCTTTCAACAGAAATCATTTTGTCCATCTGTATCCTTAAATAATTGATCTCATTGACCATCTCTTTTAGGTGCTGTCAGCAAGGAGGGCAAGCATCTTGTAGATTTTTACAATGTAATTTATGAAGAACACAGGTGAAAATTTAGGTTAGGAATAAGTGTGTCATTGAAGAAAAAATACCTGAAGAATGATAAAGATGCTTCTTTTATGTGAGGGGCTGTTTAAGTGTTGAATAAGGCATTTTTCTCGGGTTTGCTGATTGTCTGACCCCTGGAACATGATCTAATGCCCCATCACCTTCACCTCATCTAGCTTTTTTTTAGAAGCAACTATAGACTCCTCTCCCCTTGATGGACCTCATCTAATACTAAAGCAGCCCCTCTTAATGAAATGTAGTCCAAAAATTTGGCAAAAGGATGTTTATTTTAAATTTTGCAAGCCTTTTCGTTTATTTCTTGTTTAAAATAGCTATCATTTCAGCTCTGAAAAGGCTAAGTATTTGCATTAAACTGCCAAAAAGATGCACACTTTTGTGCAAGCATTTGAATGAAACTTTGCAAAGTAGTAAATTAAGTCTCTAACCCTGGCAAATGCCTGTATTGAGGGAGAGGGAAAAGGGTCTCCTTTTTATTCTTTTTTTTTCTATATGGAAATTGTGTAAAAAATGTCGTAAATCTTGGGGCTCATTTTATTTCCGATGCATCCTTGATTATTTTTATTGAAAATATTTATCGCAGACTTTATTCAGAGCAGTAGTAGGAAAATTTGACAAAAGGGACGTCAGGATAGAAATTTTTGTTCCTTCACGCCAAACAGTCTGTTAAAATTTTTTATCTTGGGACATTTTCTGTGGGAATAGATCTTATTTTTTTTTTTTTTTTTTTGCCTTATTCTCTTATTCAGAAAAATTTTGTGACTGCTTTGAGCATTGCTTTATATGAAGATTTTAATTTTTAGTAACGAATTTCTATTCCTCATTACATAACTGGATTCCAAGCAAAGTCATCTGATGCTCTTTTCACACTGATTTACAAATCCTTTGACAGATCATCGCACTAATGGCCAATTTCACCGAATGATCGACGAATGATTTGACCATGTTGACACTGTTGAATTGATTTTTTTTATTCATCTCATGGTGACTGCAGGATTTGTTGGGCTAAAAAGTAATGATTTTGTTATCAAATGAACAATTGAAAGCAAAATAAATTAATTTTCCCCCAACTATCCAAACATTAAGACTTTAAAACTGCTCATTATCATAGGTAAATAATTAGCCCACTATTGTTTTTTTAATGTAATCTGCTTTGTAACAGGGTAAGAGAGGAAAAGTCAGGAAAAAAAGCATTGGTATCCATACACTAATTTTACAATTGCAGGTTAAGATAGCTGCATATCATGAACATTTGCCAGGCACAAATATAGCGCACATGCCATCAGGTTATCTATGACCTCCTGATTCTTGGAGGGATCAGATTTCAATACTTGATTTAACCTCTGCTTTGGTATTTCCTGAATCTTTAGATTTTAAGCACATAAATCTCTAAAAGTGGCATCAACTAAAATGAGAGATCCTCTTGAAGATCCCCTTCATCGAAGCAGCCTATGGTGTGAAAAACATTTAATTTAGGTTGAATTAATAGAAAGGCATAAATCACCTCTCTCTTGACAACGTTGCCTTAAATCAATCAATGTACGGGAACCTCACTAATTTTTCAGTGTGAATTTTGCTCTATTTGATAGTCCTCTTCCATGGTCAGGTCACCCCCCTTCCTCCTCAAAATGGTGCTGGTAACTTGAAGGATCATTCACTATGCTGCCTCTCACATGAGTAATTATTAAATGCTGACAGGCCTCTATGTATGTAAAGCAAGTTCATAAAGTAGATTTCATGCAGAATTATTCCTTGTCACAGAATAATTATGTTAAAAACAACTTCAGTTGTTAAAAAGTCAATTTTCCTTTATTGTACTTTGCTTCCCACAAGTGATAGTTCTCTGAAGTTAGCCTCATGTTCTTCTCTTGAATATTTAATTTGCATGAAAATTGAGTCAACAGAAATCGTCAGCAATTAGTTGAGCATTCTATTTGTGCCAAACTCAAAAATAATTGTAAGTGGCATTTGTTTCAACAAATAGTCTTTGTAGGTAAGGTAGTTGAATTCAGCCGTTGATCAAAATGTACTGAGCAGTGTAGACACAACATAAGCTCCATTTTGAAGTTACACCATTAGAACATCCCAGCGGGTCGATTGTTAAATCGTTATCAAATGATTTTGATCGATATACAGTATTGCCCACATGAGAATTTATCGATCAAGTTCATCCGACAATGACTTGACAATCGACCGGCCAACACTTTCAATCGAATCAGATTTCATTCCACTGACTCTGTGAAGAATCTTTTCAGAACATTAACAATTTGCTTCCTCTAACAAGCCTTAGTCAGAAGGAAGGGCTTAAAACTTAAACAAACAGTTGCTTGCGGTTGTCATAAAACCGAAAGTGCTCTGCTGGCAGGGCAATCCAACTTAAACATCTCCTTCCAGGTGCGAATGTGCATCCCTCCTTCCCCTCAGCCAGTTCTGGAGTGCATCTGTAGCATTAGGTTGATTCAAAGAGAAATCTTCACTCTTGGATTTTGGTTCCTAGTGGAGATTCTCCAAGATAGGTTACAAGAATAGAGTTGAAAAAAATTTCCGGTCAATCCATCAGTTTTAAAAGGGTGTGCCCCCTGTCCCTTTCTAGACCAAAATCCTGATTTTTTCCTATTTTTATTTTTGGACAATTTTAAAACGCTTTGTATGTCTAAATAATCACACACACATACACAGGCACACACAACCCTCACCCCCCTCCGGTGAAGAATCTAAAAATCAGAATAGGGAAGTAGAGTTGTGCTAAATTTGAGCAAGATTGCATTATTTTTAGGCAGGGCACACTCTCTTCCTAACTCAGGTCTAAAAAAACGCAGGCTTCGTGCATTTTTTCACAAAATCAAGTCCGTTTCGAGTTCCATAAAATGTTTTTTGTCAGTGGTTTTTAGCTTGTAAGAGGAGTGCGCACCCCCTAATAAAAATCCAATCGAGCCCAAATTTTGCACTGCTTTACTTATGTTTCTGTCTTTTAGATATTGTACTGGGAGCTGATATTTCAAACACACCAAGTGTTTTAAAAATTGCTGGAAAGTGGGAATATGAAAAATCGTGATTTTTGTCTAAATAAAGGGGGTGCACACCTTCCAGAAACTAATGGATCGATCCAAAATTTTTCTCAGCTCTTTTCTTGTTAACTATCTCCCAGAATTTCTACCAGGAACCCAAATCCAAAATTGAACATTTTTTTCTGGATCACCGTAAGCAGCATGTTTGCTTCTTGAATTTGAAGTCCCAGGATTTGGCTCCCTCTTGAATTCACTTTCATTCTCAAACTAAAGTAAATTTTTCTCCCAATACCATCTCATCTGTTGTTCAACTCTCAAATTAATTGATATCAATTCATTTTCTTTCATAGAGAAAAAAAAGGAAGTGTTTGCATCTTGAGGATTGTGTACCCTGTGACGTAGGCCGGTACAACCTGGTCAGCAAAATCCGGAATTCGAAGTATGAAAAACGGACCATAACGTCCGATTTTTTTTGCTTAAATCAACTCATGATATAATTTCAAACACTTTGTGTGGAATGCTCTTCCATAAACTACACCATTTCCAAGAAAATCAATGATAAAAGTCGTGGTACCGACCTACGCCATCCAAAAACTTTCAAGATGCCCGAAATGCAAACACCTCCCTTTTTTTTCTCTACGATTTTCTTTTCAGTAGTAACCTATTCATTTCAAACTTCTCAACCACACTATGAATGCAGATACTTTTTGATACTTAAATAGATAATTTAGGTTTTTTTCTTCTTCTTTTTAATCATGTATTCTTGAATGGGAGGTGCAAGAAAGAAAATAATGAAATGAAGATGAGATGAAGATACTTGTTCACACTCGTAATTATCTCATCGTTCACTTTT